CAGACTTTAAAAAGAAGACAGAAGTCCTCATGGAGCTGAGGGCATGTCACTCCATAAACACTTGCTAAAAGCAACCGTGTGCCAGTCTCTCTGTGCACATGAGGTTCACCTCTGATCACGGCAGACTGCTGCCTTGGAGAGCTTATGTTCCAGCAGCTCTGCTTAGGGAGGCAGATGATAAACGTGAAGCATAAGACATAAATAAGCTGCACGGTAAGCAGTGCCATGCAATGGAGTGGCAGCCCGGCAGAGAGGGGAGACCAGGAATGTCAGGGTGTGTGGGGGAGCCCAGGACATGCGTAAGTAAAATGGTTAGTGTTGGTCTTCTTTATTTCTTTACTAATCACATAGGTCACACTCACTCTGTGTCAGTATTAGATCACTTAGTCCTCATTATAACTCTGCAAATTGATGCTATTACCCCATTTTACAGAGAAGAAAACTGAGGCATAAAAAGATGGGGTAATGTGGGAAGGCCTGACGCCAAGCAAGTGGTGGCAAAGGGACTCAAGGCTGAGCACTGTGATTCTGGTCTGCATTCTAATCCTCCAGGCAAGGCTGCCTCCTTGTTTGAGCAAAAAAATCAAGGCGATGAAGAAGTCAGCTATGCAGGTCTTTGCAGGAAAAGCATTCCAAGCAGAAGGAACAGCTAGTGCCAAGGTCTTGAGGCAGGAGAAGCAAGGTAGCCACCGTGGCTGGGGTGGGGAGGCTAGGGGTTGGGAAGAGTGGGCAGGGCAGTCGGGAGGCCACATTGCAAGGGCCCTGAGGCCAGGGTGGGGACTTGATTTGGGTTCTGGGGAAAAGAGGCTCTCTTCCGGTTTGAGCAAGGGATGGCTTACCCTAAAGCCGTGGTTCCAGTGGTCAGGGGCGGAGCAGGAAGCCCAGCAGGTGGGAGCTCAACCAGGGCAGTGGCTATAGAAACGGGGAAGAATCATGGTAGGGACCCTGAGAAGGCTGAAGCAGAGGTTCCCGGATGACGGGCGTGTGGGAAAAAGACTCAGGCGTGGCTCAGAGCGGTGAGGCCTGAGGAAGGAACTGGAAGCGCTGTGTGGCTCTAGCTGGGATGCAGGAAGAGACTGCCTTCCACAAGTGTGGTGACTCCTCCCGAGGATGGACTCGCAGCCTCACCTGGTGGAATGACAGCAGCTATCTGTTACACAGGCGTTATAGCCAAGCGGAAGGGCTTTCCAAAGAGTCTGTGGTTGAAAGAGCGATGATGGTTTTGTTGCTTCTCAGACCCAGCTGGTTGAAAAACCGCTCAGCAAAGCAGGAGAAGCATTGAAGAACCCGAAGGGCTCGAGGCCAAGACCCAAGTGGACATCCTAAGAGCCAGCTCGGGAACTGGTGGGAAGACTCCTGAGTGCCCCCTAGTGGGCGGATGGAGCAAAGAGTCCCTCAAGCCCTCCAGTTTCGCCCTAGTCAGTCTCTACAGCTGGGTCACGCACACCCTGCTTTTTGCCCGTGAAATATCAGTTATGTTTGGATGTGAACGGCCCGGTCAACCCTCTGAGCTGCTGTTCTCAGAGGGTAGGATGGGGGTTGTTGATGCTTTTTAAATTGGTTATACAGGAAGCCTCATAGCGTCTCTATTTCTTTGCAAGGGAAGGGGAAAGAAATGGGAAAAAATGAATTCAAATTGAACTCCAGGCAGAAGAAACTCATCATGCCAAAGACACTTAAAATTCCCCTCCCATCAACACCAAGCTCCACAAATTCTGATTGTGGCAGAGAAAACACAGCCAGTGAAGACAGTACAAAATAGTATGAAAATAGAGAGCTCAGCATAGAGAGACGGGGAGCTGCAGTGTGTCAGTCTCTGCCAGCATTTGCAGAACATAAGGCTGGGTGGTAGGGCCCGCCAAGGAAATTAATGGATATGAATACCAAGTTCACAAAGCCCTGTGTTAAAGAACCCCGATACTCTCTTTCCCTGAAAGTAAGACCTAACCAGAAAATAATCAGTCCTGAAAACTAAAAATCAAAACCACCATCCCCACTCAGCCAGTCCTTGCCTTATCTGTCATCACTGTTCTCTTGCTCTTCGGCTACTCTGTAAGGCAGGTGAGGCCCAGGTAGGCCGACTGGGGCTGGCGTTTTTGATCTTTAATTTTCAAGGCTGATTATTTTCCAACTAGGTCTCATTTTCAGGGAAAGGTGGTAGGTATTGATACCCAACAAGTTCATGAAACCCCTTGGATATTGACATCCATTCTTTCAGATGACTATCTGATGAATGCTTACCAAATCCTTACCAAACTTGCTCAGATTTACTGGGGTCCACCATCACATGTGGGCTTTTCTCTGATGCTGCTTACAGTCTTGTGGACTAAAGGAACCACTAGGCAAGCAACCATCTCCAACATGGGAGTCTCCTTGGGGCAGGAGCCAGCTCACCCCAGAAATGTTGTTCCCTGGCTGTCATCCTCTGGGAGTTATTCTACCCTTTCCTCTGAGCAGGGGCTGGGTGAGGGTGGAGAAGCACTGTCCCCACCCCTCAGCTGGACCTGCCAGTCAGGGTTACTCTCCCTGAATAGTCCCCTTTCTGCTTATGTGGACAGTGTGTGTCTGGGGCTGGGTAGGGCATCCTGGAAGATTTCTGTGGATCTGTCAATCTGTGGACAAATATCTGGATATGGTTTGCCTTGTCCCAGGCCGGTGCTAAGCACTGTCATATAATAGCCTCTCAATAAATATTTGTGAGCCTTCAGGGATATAAACCTTATGAGCCTACCTGGGCAGAAAGCCAGCTCCCACCTCCAAGTTCTTCCAGACATTTTCCCTCGAAGCAGTGTCCAAGGAGAGGGGCACTGAGGCAGGAGCAGGGAGGGCGGAACCTGGTTCGCCACATGGCGGGGGCGGGGTGGGGCACACGGAGTGCCATCACCAGGCCTGCTACAACAAAGACTTCCCAACCCATTTGCTTCCTGGCCCTCCAGCTGCTCCAGAAAAAGCTTTTCAGCCAAGGTCCTCGGTAAATACAGCCTCCCAAACCCCGGCCGTTGTTCCCATGCCTGATTCCTTCTCTCCAGCATGTTGCTGGGATTGCTAGCGTGAACTTGATCTGCATTTCCGCCTGGACTGTCACACGAGTCTCCTGCTTCGGGGCAAATGGGTCACATCATCCAGGACAGGTGCCGGTGTCAGGGCAGACCCCCGCACACGGTCATGCTCAGTTATAAATATCTATGGAGTGCAATAGCAAATAATTGTGAGGCATATTTCACCCTGCCTGTTGAACACATCGCAAGAAAGGAATTGATCCCTGCTGTTTCATTTATTAGATGGTGTAATACCACAAAAATCGTTTCCACAATATCCCAAACTAAATCATTTATTCTTGACAAAAATCCAATAAAGAGCTCAATCCTTCTCCATAGGCAGATAAAGCACAGATTAATGGGGCTGCCTAGATCAAAAAATGCTGGGAAAATGAAAGCAAGAAAGGAAGAGAAGGCTCCTTCCTCCTCCTCACTTCCCCAAGGCTGCCTCGGCTCAGGGTTTTATTACAAAAAGCCGCCTAAGTATTACAGGCTAATCCGTAAATCCCGGCCTAGTAAAATATGTGACGGATTTGTAAATTGTGCCCTTTACAAATCTGATTGAACTTTTTTTTTAGCCGGGAGTTTTGCCTTTTCCTCTTTCTCTCGCCTTTCCCCACCTCACCAGCTTCCTTGGCTGCATGGACCCTGCACCTGGCTTCTCCAGCCCCTGTACCATTGCCTGTAAACGCAGCCCCTCTGCAAACCTTCTCTGACCTGACTCTCGGAGGGTGAAGACTGTTGGTGGTACAAGAGGCAAAGAAAAATCATCTGCCTCTTTATTTAGCATCTACAGGGAAATCGGACGCAGGTAGGGTCAGGGCGAGGGTCAGGCACATGGCACACTCGCAGCCAGGATGAACGCAGCGAAGAGCTTGCAGGGCTGTGGGAGTAGCATCCTCTCCAGTGGAGAAGGAGGAGACCAGGCTGCCAATCCTCAGAGCCACAGATGAGCCAGCTGGAAAAGGGTCATCAGCAGATGCCATTCTGTCCCTTGACTGCAGCCTTAAATGACCTTGAACCACCCACAGCAGACAGTTCCCTAGGATCTATCCAGGGCGCCCACCCCACATGTCCTCTGTGTGCACCCCTCCAGGGCATCCACTGTCTCAGTGTGCCCGGGACCAAGTGGGGTCCCAGGAAACAGGACTTGCAGTCCCAGGCAAACCAAGGTGAGTCAGCTACTCTGTACCTGCTGCCTTCAGCAGTGTCCACTGAGGAGAGGAACTAATAACTCAGGCTGCTTCTAGCTTTCTCTGCCTTAAGCTACTTTCTATGCAGAAGCAAAAAAGTACGTGGGCAAGAACAGCTGCTTTGGAGTCATCCAGGCCTGGGCTTGGGTGGAGGATCTGTCACTTGCTACCTGTGGGCATTGGCAAGTCACAGTCTTTTACAGCCTTGGTTTCCTCCTTTGAAAAATGGAGACAGTAATGCCCATTTCATAGAATATGCATGCTAATTGAAGACAGAACATCGAGTAAGTGCCAGTAGTATCAGCAGTAGCAGCAACAGCAGCAGCAACATTTGAACACATCTCCTTTACTAGGACTATGGAAAAGGCATAAGGATGGCAGAAAGGCTGCTGAAAGCTGACAGAGCAATGTGCTTCTCTCTAGCTCACTGCAGGCACAGCCAAGGTCCTCCAGGGTAAGCCCTGGCTGGAGCCCAGTGGAGTCTTTAGAAGAACCAGTGAAGCAGGCAGCTAGGAAGCAGATGATGGCTGGACCAGGCACCTCTGCTCGGCCCTGTGTTTTGCATCATTTTGAGGCTGCTCCCCAGCACCCTAGGAAAATGACTATTTCCTCTACTCACAGATTCCCAGAGGCAGAAAAAGACTGAGCTGGGATGGTTGCCCTAGCAACTTTCCTCCCCATCCCCTCCGGTACCGAGGGCTGTTCCACATGGAAACAGGGCTAGAGAGAAGCAAGGCGAGGGAAAGGTCCTGGGGCCAGCAGCCTGCAATGGTGTTTTACAGGTTTATTGAAATGCAATAAAACAGTATCAGCCCTGAGAACTAGACTACTGCTCCCTCAGTCCCTGCTCAATCCTATCACCAGGCCAGGATGGAATGTCCCTCAAATTCCAGAGCAATGGCTCCAAGAAGTTTTTCTGCTGTGCCTCCTCTTTCTGGTCAAAGGAGGACAGTGCCTTCAGAGCAAAAAGTGAAGTCTCTTTCCAGCTGTGCGCCTCTCTACAGATGTGCTGGGTGCACCAGGGCCATGAGATGATGATGTCACACCTTCCTGCTTGGGTCCGCCCTTCCAGACCTAGGAAGAGACAGAGAGGGAGGCAGAGGGGGAGGCTAGGTTCAGAGGTGATGAGAGCCTCTTGCTGGGCCCAGCTGCCATAAGAACCACAGGTAATCCTAGCCCCAGGGGAATGAAAGGAAAGAGAAAAGCTGCATGAAGCAAGAGTCCCAGGCAGCTTGAGGAACAAAGTGTAGATAGGACATTTGTTTCCCAAGAACATTCTAGAATAGGTGAGGGTCTGTCTGCTGTGTTTCTGAAAGCAGAGGGGCATAAAATATGACCTCAGCTCCTCCTCCAGAACCAGGCTCTTCCTGTTTGCCCCTGGAGCAGCTGCTTGGTGCTCTTGGCTTGACTCATTAACTTTTACCCCTGGATTTCCTACTGGGTCAGTCCTGTTTTCTGCATCCTGGGTATCTAGTCTGACAGCCAGAGAGCCACACCGTGCCTTTCCCTTCATCTGACTGCAGTGGGGGCACTGAGAGAACAGACTCCACTCATCACCCTTGCTGGGACAGAATCTCCCTGGAGGTTCCTCCTGCCTGTTTGGTCCTTGACATCAAGAGGTGATGATTTAGGTTGTGTAGCTGATGAGTGGTTGATGACGTGGGTTGAAGGCGGCAAGTGCTGGGCCAGTTCTCTGAGCATCAGGGCAGCCTGGGCCTGGCATAGGAGGGGCTGCTGCTGCCCAGTGCTTTGGTGTACTTGGAGGTGAAAGAAATCCATGGAACATCCTGCTTTGGGGGGTGGAGTATTAAAGCATGTGAAGAATTACTGTTTTTCTATTCTGAGGTTGAGGATGGGTAGCATGAAATAAGGGTGCCAGGGGAGGGGACCCCCATTCAGTGGATGTTCATTCTGCCACCTACCACCCTCAGGCCCAGGCCGTCATGACATGTGAGATGGGGGAGTCTTGGTGGGAGCACAGTCTGGGTCTCCTTAGTTACCCCTGACCCTTTCCCATCCCCATCCTATAGAGGCCTATAGAACAACCCTGTCCCACACAAAGACATTCAGATTCAGCTCCTTTGTGGAGGATCTTAAAGGGAAGGAGGGCTTTGAGCAAACCCAAGAAATACAAGGAGCAGCTGCCTCACCGAAGCTTGTCTGCATGGGACTTGGTTGCTCTGGTCTCCCTGACTCCCTGGGGCATCCTCCCCTGAGACCCCAAGTCAAGATGCCAGAGCTCTGGCCACTCAGGGTCCTGCCAGCCTTGCTTCTGCCATTGCCCTGTGACTGCAGGATGTGATGGGTGGAGGGATGGGCCCGAGGAAACCCATCAAATCAAGGCGAACATCTCAGTAACTTCTTATTTATTGGCCTCCTCCAGCCCCACAATTGCAGATTCTGCTCAATATTTTATTCTTGTTGCACCTGCTCAGGAGCGGAGCTGCAGGCGTTTTTGATAAATGGATTGAAAGGTTTGTCTAGTTTTGCTGAAGCTTCTATAAGTGCCTCTGTATCTTCCACTGAAATTATATTTCCCATCTTCCCACAATGATTTCTCTCCCCTGGTGGCTCCCCTCTTCCTCTGCTAACCCTTGTGCCCTCTCTCCCGTTCACACACACGCCTGCACACGTGATGTGCCAAGATGCCCATATCCGTGTACTCAAAAACTTAGCTGCACACACAGCCCCTCAGGACACCAGCATACAAGCTGCCAAGGAGCATATCTACCCAGGAACGGGGAGGCACACCCAAGAGCCGAGCACACCAGCACAGCCCACGTGCATGCAAATGGGACGCACGTGGGAGCTGCTGCTCAGGTCTGAAATGCTCCTGCTGCGCTTTCTGAGCTCATCTGGTCTCGAACCCAAGGAAAGGCTGCAGAAGGCCAGCTCTTGGGTGCAAAGGTGGAAACGATGGGCAGATGCCAGGAGGGAGAAGCTGCACCCCAGGGATCCTTCCTTGCAGGAGTCCCCTGCACTCTGGGAAGTTCTGCCCCCCTCAACGGTTGACTCCTCCAGCCTTCCTCCTTCTTCCTCGCCTGCCGGCCCTGCCTTCCCTGCTGGGCCAGCTGGAGGCTTTATCCATCCACATCTGAAACAGCTCAGGAGCTGCTCCTGGCCGCCAGCCGTTTCCATAAATAACTTGCGGGGCCTGGCTCCTCGCCCTTCTGGTGACGTCATTGGCTGCTGGCCCAGGGATGAAGTCATAGGCTTCCCTTCCCTGGGCGCTCCGCCCGAGCAGCCAGAGGCCCTCTTCCCAAGCGTCTGCCCGGAACCCACCTGTCCATGCCCTTCCTGTTCCCACCTGGCCAGGCAGTGGCTGTGGGTTCTCTGCCATCTGGAACGGGCTGCATGGTGATGCCAGACGGCACCTTCCTCCTCCTTGTCGCCAGTGGCTGAACACCTCCCAGTTTTTTCCATCTCCCTACCACCCTCCCCTGCCCCACCATGTTCTCACTTCCGGATGATCGCATTACAGGAGATGCTCGGCGGTGGGGAGGGGCTGGCGCCTTAAGGGAGCTCCACTCGGTCCAGATCCCGGCTGTGTGACTTTGACAAGATGCTCCACCTCTCTGTGCTTCTGTCTTCTCATCTTTATAATGCGGGTGATAATAGGATCTGTGTCAAGGGTGATGGTGAGGCTTATATGGGCTCCAGCCTCTAAGCACAGTGCCTGTGGTGTTAGCCAGAACTGAATGAACTGATTTTGTGATCACATGTCCATGTGGCTGTGTGCAGGGGAAGGGAGGCACAGGCTTGTGTATTTTCTGCCCTATGATGGCAGAAGTGTCTCTGGTCTTCTCTTTGTGGCATCTACTTCCCCTACAGTTGCCCAAAGCTACTGTGTTTCCAGCTGGGCTCTGCTGGGCTCCTCGTTCTAGTCCAGTGGTGTCCCGAGCTCATGCCTAGGACCACTGGCCTGCAGAAAGAAGGAAGTACACTCCCTCCTTGGTCAGGGCTACAGAGCCCTGCATGACTAGCGTCACTGGACACAGCTTGACCCCCCTGGAGCCCGTGGCCATGAATCCAGATGTTCATGCTTAGGGAGCACCCGCAGGAGGATGTGGGGAAATAGAACGTCTCTGGATCGGAGGGTGGGAGAGTTTCGCTATGGTTTTTATTTGCCCCAGTGCTGTCTGATGCAATAGCCAGAGCCACATGTGACTCTAGACCCCAGGCATCTGCCTAACCAGGTGCTGGGAGGGGAAATGTAAGCTTGATTCTGAGGTCTCAGTTTGACAAAGAGAATGCAAAGTATCTCATGAATAATTCTCTTATGTTTATTATGGGCTTAAATGATAATATTGTTCATATGTTGGGTTAAATAAAATATGCCGTTACACATAATCTCACCTGTTCTTACTTTTATAATGTGGCTACTAGAAGATTTAAAACTACATTTGTGGCCTGTGTTATATTTCTGTGGGGTAACTCTGGTCTCTACTCTCACTGAGTTTTGAAAAATATTCACTGTTCTCCCCACCCGAGAGTTGAACTTGGTCAGTATTGTGCTTTTGGAGGTGAGGGCTGCTGCTTTTGGCCAAAATAGCCACTGGCCCCACAGACAGAGTTCCAAGGAGACAGGGCGGCAGAGCTAATGTACCCATTGGCCATATGGAGTCCCTGCCTGCCCACCACCCAGCCCTAGAGATTTACATGTTTAAGGGTGTGTTACTTTTCTCTCATTGCTGAGACAAAATACCCAGCACCAAAACTTAAAGGGGAAGGAGTTTATTTGGCTTACAGTTTGCAGAGGTTTCAGTCCATAATTGGCCAGCTCCAAGGCAGAGATGACAAACAGGCATGGCAGAGCAGAAACAATATGGTTCGCACAAGGCAGCAAAGGCAGCAAGAGAAATTTAACAGCATCTCCCTGCCCCTTTTATCTTATTCAGACTACTTAGGGTGGGTAGCACTCACACCTTTAATCCAAGTGCCCTTGAGCCTAGCATTGCATCATGAATCAATTCTAGCTTCACACACTCTAGAAGAAGCCTATGACCACATGAGATTTTGGGGGAAACATCTAGACCCAAACCCTAACAAAGGGGAAGCTCCCAAAGTCATCCAGGGTACCCCCAGGGCACCGCATCTTCAGTCCTAGGCCCACCTTGCAGTATTGCTGTCGCCCTTCCATGACTTTTCTCATCCTGAGCCCCTGCCTAGAAGTCCTGTCTCTCTCCATTCATTGGTGTTTTACTCATCCTTTAAGAATGAAAGTTACCTCTTCCGTGAAGCTTTCTCATGCCCCTTCAATGAATGAATGAATGAATGATTAAATGAATGAATTGCCTTGGGCCACCCCTAGTACTTTGTTCAAAACGCAACTAAACAGTTTTTTCTGTTTTTTTGTTTTTGGTACTGGGGATCAAACTCGGGTCCTTGTGCTTGCAAGGCAAGCGACGGACCCACTGAGCTAAATCCCTGGCCCGCAACTAAACAGTTTATCAGGACCTGCCCTGGGAGAAAGCACTCTATACCAGGACATTGTTATTAATATAAATCTCCAGGACAGCCTTACTAGGCAGCTGCTAGGATTACTCTTATTTTCTATATTAGGAAGCAGAGGCAGAGAGAGATGAAACATCTTGCCCAAGTCAGAAGAGTTTATAAGTAGAGGAGGTAGAATTTCAGACCACAGGACTAGTTCAGCCCATGATCTCTTTGCCAGACCAATGGCCCCTGTCAGTTAGTGCCATTCCTAGTTTTACCTCTGAAACACACACACAATGTAGGAACTGGGTCCCCGGTTCATCCACTCCTGGAATTCCACAGCACCTATCCCAGGGCACACAACAGGTGCCCAATAAATGTGGCCTGAACAAGATCAGCATTGAATTATTGGCTCTTGGAAGCCTTCATCTCAACTGTTCTCTTGAAGCACCTGACCTGGCCACCCTCCACACCCCCTCCACCCACCTCCTCCTGTGCAGGGCCCTTCGGCCTCTCCCTGGCCTCTCTATACCTGCTTAACACTCAGTTACTGTCATATGGCCTCTGTCAGCTGGGCATTAATTCCCCAGTTTATCACTGCATAAAAACTAAACTCTCTTTTTATGGTCTCTGCATCCAATGCCCTCTCCTTTTATGCAGATTCCACTGTACTTCTGGAGAATAAATAAATACAGTATAACTTTTAGCAGCCTTTATTGACTGCAACCTGCAAGACTCTGGGCTCCATGGGCCTGGGGCTACCTAGAAGCCCAGCAGTAGTTGGATGGCAGGGAGTTGGCATAATAGGAGGATTCTATGCATCTGACCCTAAAGCTCTCCATGCCAGTGGCTCTCTGGGTCCTCCCTGGACAGAACAGCTCCCTTCCATGACCTTTATGGCACCTGCCACAGGTTCCCTTAAGGAGCTATGTGGATCCTATGGTGCCCACCCCTGGAATAGAATGGTACCTGGCTGCTATGCACTTGACAGGAGCTGGGTGCAGCAGCCAGGAAATCGAGCCCCATACTCACCCTGCCATGGAGGCTGTGCTGATGGGCACAGGGTCCTGGGATGCCAACTGCTGAGCCCCTTCCCTCCCCTGGGAAGGGATCCAGAGAGAATTTCTGTGGGGCTCCCAGGCCCTGTCCTGTGATTCCAGGATAAGTGGGTGTTGGAGACTGTGATCCCCCTGGGGAAATGAGATCCCCCTCACCAAATTCAATCCAGGACCAACCAGTCCCAGCATAATCTCATCTCTCTTGTGCCTTCCTAGCTGGCCCTCTGGTGGGACCCAGCCTGGCTGCTTATGCTTACTAATTTGGCAGCAAAGCCCCCTCAGGAAAACAAGGACATCAGAGGGTCCCACTGAAAGAGCTGCATGGGGGTCAGGTCTACTCTATCAGAAGGGAGGAAGCAGAGAAATGCTTCTGTCAGTCCCATTGCCATTTTGCCTTTTACAATTTACATCTCTGCCAACAGTTGCCTTTCGTAAAACAAAAGAAGTTCCCTATATAGTAAACGATGATTATGGTAAAAAGTCAGGGCCACCTCCCCTTCCTTTCCATTCTGACCATGCGCCGATCCTGGTCACAAAGCTGCCACAGGGCCTCCTTTTGTCCACCTGCCCTCGCTGGCCGGGACTGTGAGGTGGAACCTTTGGCTTTCTATGCCAGTTCCCAGATCCAGAGGTTTGTGTTTGCCTCTAGCCTCCCTGTGTTGCCTCAGCCAAATCCAGGGACTAGGCACAATCATGCCCTTGCTTGGGAAAGACAGGAAGAATGTCCTGGGGTAGAGTTAAGGGAGTGACACTACCAGACACCCAGTTTGCCTAAACAGCAAAATTAAACAGTGACTAGATCTTTGGTGTAAGTCTGTCCTGTGGGGTATTTTGGACATATTTATGCCAAATTTTCCCATTGTTTCACTGTAATTCCAGCTTCCTGGGTGTTTTGTGCTTGACCGGCTAATCCTACCTCTGTGCTGCATGTCCGGCCTTCCAGAAGGGAGTACGGGGATCTGTGGGTCATCTGCCTATGGGGGAAAGCTGTGGCCAGCACAACCCCAGAAGCCTTAGAGTAGTTGGTGAGGGGATCCCTCAGTCCAGGAGGTCATCGGAGAAGCCACTCTCCCTCCCCCTGGAAAGATGGAGCTGCCCTTCCTTTCCGACCTGGAGAAAACCTGCTCCTTTCTCCTCCATCCCAAATCCAGTGTTGCAGGCTCCAGTCTCCTGTGATGTGAGCTGCCACATGTGTGCTCAGCTCCAGGGACAACAGGGCAGCTATGGCTGCCTGCGAAGTCCTCACACCCTCCAGTGCTACTGCCCCAGGGTGGAAGCAGGGAAACACAGGATGTTTCTATATCTGGGGCTTCCCGGGCACTACACCCCCATCTCACTGTTCCCTGCCCTGTGCAAAAATGTTCCTGGAGATGGAAACAGCTTTCTCTGAGATAATTGCTTAATTAGGGAGAAATTACTTAAATTTCAGCAGCAGCAGCCGTGCACTCTTCCGGCCATAAAAGCCTCTAATCCCAGCTCCCTTAGACGGGAGATCTCTGCCCACGCCACACTCACAGCCTCTTTTCCATGGGGAGGTGTCAGGGCCTCTCTCTCTCTCTCTCTCTCTCTCTCTCTCTCTCCTACGTGAGGACACAGTGAGAAAGTGACTGTGTACAAACCAGGAGACAGAGGCTCCTCACCAAAATGCAATTGTGCTGGCATCCTGATCTCAGACTTCAGCCTCCAGAACACTGAACAATAAATATCCGTTGTTTAAACCCCGGGCCCATGGTGTTTCGTTAAGCAGCCTAAGCTCAGACAACACGCTTTCTGTGAAGGGCTTGATAGTAAACATTCATTATAGTCCCTGCCATACCTCCTGAGCTAGCACCACAGAGCAGAAATGGACGGGGTTGTGCACCGGCGGCGGGGGGCGGGGGGGGCTGTCACCACACCACTGCTCTGCTGGAACACGCAGCTAACTGGGATTGTGAAATTCAGCCCGGTAAAAAGTGAAAGT